GGAGTGACATTGGTCAACAGGGTCATATAGCTTTCAAGTTTACATTTCTTTAATACACAATCTATATATTACGTTGTGTTCCCACCATCCAAAGTCAAATCATTTAGGTGAACATGAAATTTAACATAACCTCTAAGTTCTGACCTTTAAATCTCATTGGATGAGGTTTTTAAATTTACCTTTCTGAAGTAGAAATATGCAAATAAACAACCGGAGCCAAAAAAGTATGATAAAAAATCCAGCTGTAATAAATGTTTATTAGCACAGTTGTGAAATTTTTCTGTGGTAATGTTTATTAACCTCTGAAAAGCAGTTCACACAATATACCCAGGACATGCACACAGGTAGGCCCAGAATGAACTTCTGGAAGTGGTGAGGGGGGTAGAAAGAAGAAGAGCAAGAACCCAAATCCATCATAAGGATGGGATTTCCTTATTCTCTGGGAAAGTATAGTTTAGTAATATCATTTGTTGATTCGCCAAATTTAAAGGCAGAATTCTATCAGGTAGCATTTCCAGTACATATTTTTGGTGCCTGTCTAAAATGCAATTTTGTGTTATTTATTCAACCTAATATCTTTGAATGAGTCCCTTCCATCTCAGGACAGGCCCTCACCATCAGGCCTGTCTGTTTTCTTGCTATAAAACCCTTACATTCTAGCTGGAACCATTCAGAACTCTGAGTAGCACTTTGAAGGTGTGATAGACCTTTTTTACACTTTCCAGAAGTTTCTTTTTTTTTTTTTTTAATATATTTTATTGATTTTTTTACAGAGAGGAAGAGAGAGGGATAGAGAGTTAGAAACATCTATGAGAGAGAATTATCGATCAGCTGCCTCTTGCACACCCCCTACTGGGGATGTGCCCGCAACCAAGGTACATGCCCTTGACCAGAATTGAACCCGGGACCTTTCAGTCTGCAGGCTGACACTCTATCCACTGAGCCAAATCAGTTTCGGCAAGAAGTTTCTTAATGTGTGTAGAACAAATAGATCTTAGAACTATTGAAGTTTACCATTGAGAGGCCTGTGGGTCATATAGTTGAACTCATGTTTTTTTTAAAAAGCCAAGGCCTAGAAACTTTGAGTTTTGTGTAAAAGTTTTGCTCGACTATTACAATATGATATGGCATTGGTCACATAGCTTGGCTAATAGTGACTTCCATTGATTGAGTTCTCCCAGATAGACCAGGGATTATACGAGTACTCACATCCACATTTCAACCAGTTCTTGCAACCTCACCCATTTTTATATATAGGAGAACTGAGCATCAGGGAGTTATTAAGCTTTGTCTAAGATACCAAGCCAGCTTTCTTCCTCTCACACTGAGTGGACACCAGTTTTTCTTCACTGACTTGATACTTTAAAAATAAATTACTTTATGAATCAGTTACTTGATTAGAGGAGAGAATATGAAAAGAATGTCTTCATGTTTATTTCTGGAAGGATGCTTCTTTTAATAATAAGAATAACCACTTACAAACCATTTACTTCCAGACATTTCTGTCTCATCTTTTCTGTCAGGCTTCCCTATTACTGGATGCTCAGTGAGGAAACAGGCTTGTCCTCCCATCTCCACAGTGCTTTACTTGCTGCAGTAGACTCAACAAGCTATGGGCTCCCTCTACTGGTGTTAACTGTGACTCTGTTCATTTAAGTTATTAATATTTATTGACCCAATCAGTGAGGAATGTGAATATAAATGAGATGTGGTCTTTGCAATGAAGAGATAATATATATGTATTTCTGTAATATAAGATGGATATCAGTAAATACTAGGAAAAGGGGACAAAGAAAATTTCATAGATGTTTAGAGGTCAGAGTGTTTCATTGCATTTGGGAAATTAGGGGTGGCTTTGTGGAAGATTTGACATTTATCTGGATCAGAAGGGGTGAGTGAGATTTGGCTTGTGACAGTCCAGGGATGTGTAGGAAGAGGATCAACACCCCTGCTGGCGGGAGCAGTGCTGCAAAGGAGCTGGGTGAGGAAGGCAGAGATGTGTGCAGACACAGGGAGCAGAAGTGCTTGTTTCCATGCAATGAGAGGATAGGACCTGTGGGATGGAGCTGTTGTGTGCCCACCCTTAAGCCCTTAGGATCAGAATGGCATTTCACAGTCTTGATGGCCATGAGGAACATGGTTGGGAAAGGGAAGAAGTTGAACAAGGTCATAAAGGTGGTTGTTGCCATATCTTGGTCATGGTTCTAGGGTGGAAAGTCACTGAGAAGTGGCCAGAACCAGCTCCTAGGTCCTTCCTTCACTATCGCCACTCCTATATGCACACAGAGTGACAGAGATTGTTCCCAGTAGTTTAACCCCTCCTTACTAAACAACTTTTCCTGGATCCCAGTGTGGTCTACTGCATGAGGGGTATAAGGCCTGCAGCCTGGTCCACAGGCAGGCTTAAAGCCAACACATTTGACTCAGACCCACGGGCTTCCATGTCACCTTTCCAGTTGTGAAGCAGGGAAAACAGTGAAAAACAAGGAAAACGTTTGCACCTTCCTTATAGCAGTACTCCTCCAGTCCCCACCCTCTGCTCTCTCCAGTCAGAGGCAGGCTGATGCCCATCTTACTACACTGGTCCGGTGGGAGAAGGACTTACCAAACTCTAAGTCTGAAGAAAAATCACAAAAAAATAACACATGCTAGAATTTGTTCCCTAGACTCAGAATTAAGGCCCCCCCATTTTTATAATTTTAATGATTTTTAGAGAGAGTGTCTGGGAGGTAGAAACATCAATGTGAAAGCTAAACATTGATCAGCTGCCTCCTATATGCTCCCTACTGGGGATCAAGCCCTCAACCCAGGCATGTGCCTTGAGCAGGAATCGAACTGGTGACTTTTTAATGCACCAGGACAATACCCAATTCACTGAGCCATATTGTCAGGGCAAGCCTTTTTGGCACACTGAAAGCTCAACCTGTCTCGTGGCTCAAGGCCCAAGACATGTCTGTACCCTGGTGCTGGCCTTCGGAAAAAGATTAGGAGTGGAGATCTTGCACTGCCTCTACCAATGGGAATAGTGGGGATGGAGGAACTGAGGAAGGGTACAGGCAAAGTGAGGACCTTGGAGTCAAGTCAGTAAGACAGGAAGGAGTCACCCAGGGTTTGAGTACTAACTGCCTTTGCCTTTTCACCACTAAGATATCTAGCAGATATCTCCAACTTAATTAGTCCCAGATGAACCTCTTTATTTTCTGTCTGCTCTGCTTACAGCCTGCCCACCTCTACAATGCTCACCTTCTAGTTGTGCAGGCCAGAAACGCAGTTGTCCTTGATTCCTCTTGTCTTTCACCCCTCATCTCCAGTCCTGCAGGAAATCCCAGAGGCTTTACCTTCAAAATCAGTGTGATTGGTCTGTCCTCTAACCTGCACTATAGTCACCCTGGCCTAAACCTGCATTAAATAATAGCTGCCTTCCTGATTCCTTCCTTGCTTGCTTCAGTCTGTTCTAAACTCAGTAGCTAGAATGATCTTTTAAAAACATGACTCAGATCTTGTCTCTTCTGTGCTCCAAACCCTGAAGGACTATCTCCCCATTGTCCCTCAGCCTTAAGGCCAGAGTCCTTACAAACTGGCTTCTTTGCTATGCCTCATCCCTATCAGGCTCACTCCTTCCTGTGGCCTTTGCACAGGGTGTTCCTCTGACTGATACGCTCTTTCCGCACGCGTCCACAGGGCTTCCCTCCCCCACTGTAGTAGAGACAATAGGAGGCAGTGCTCTACTTTGAGGTCATGGAGATTATCCATGGTTTAGGGCAGTGAGATAGATCCTTTTATGGAAGCATACAGGCCTTCTTGTTTAAAGATTAACTAGAATGAAACTGCCGTTAGCTTTTAAAGACAGTTGGGATTTCACAGAGGGATGCATGGTGCATTTCATTTTCAAGCGAGGATCATATTTTTCTGAGGGCCAGCATACCAAAGTCATGATGGGACCACTGATTCAGCATGTGCGAGGTTTGTAATTCTTCATTTGGTGAAGGTTGAAGGCATTCTTATTTAAAAGATCAATGCAGGTAGCGTTTACAGAATGTTAGGTGTAATTATTTAGATGTGTATTATCATTTGGTAATTTTGAGCCTTGATTATATAGTTGTACATAAAATCTCCATATAGGTTATTTATCTTTGTATGTTTATCCTCTTTATTTGCACAATATTTTCTACAAAAATATTAAGCTTCATAATTTGGTAGAGAGAATGTAGATTTTGAAATAAAAGAATATTCATTTTTGTTCATTTTCATTCGAGCTCTACTACTGGCAGTATTAGCATGGACAAGTTACTTAGTTTTTATTTCTCCACTTTGTTGTCTATAAAGTGAAGGTTCTAACTCTGTTCTTGGAGTTCCTGCTAGGATCAGATGTGGTCATGCTGTATCTAAAGCACTGGTCATGTTGATTGCCACGCAGAACGGCATTTCTTATTGGACGTGTTAGAGTGATGGCAGTGTCTTAAGACTGTTCAGAGATTCAGGAAAACATCATTGATGACTTTTAAACCAAGACTCCTACTTGTAGCGGATGGCAACTTGACCTTTTTCTTTTGTTTGTTTTTTGTACACATCTTTCCAGTGCCCCTCACCATGACAGACTCCATGGACGCACACCCTTGTGTTCTCTCCTCCCGTCACCCTGCCCCCTGTGCACACGTAGCCTTCTTGGTGTTTGATTTCCTGGGCTGTAGGATTGAGCTGGTCTATAGATGTGGTGGTGGGAAGTGTCCCGTGTGTCCTGAAATTCAAGGACTAAGCAGAGTCAGGTTAGAGGATTATTTGCTTTAGTCATTGACAGCACAGGACACTGGACATTCTTCCCTGTCCTTTGCTGCCCCAGTTGCGTTCACGGAGCTTCAGGAAGTTTCTGAATGAAGTAGTGGACCGAGAAGGGTGGTGTGTTCAGCATGTGCACTGTGCATAGTGGCGCTGGCCACTGCGTTTTTGTGTGAGATGTCTTCTCAGAAAAGACCACAATGAGTCTTGTCTTTCTGTTTCAGACAGCCCGTTGGAGGATCCTGACCTTAAGGACTCATATCTCATTCCAAGAAATATCATGGCTGAGCCAGACTATATAGAAGATGACAATCCTGAACTAATTAGGCCTCAGAAACTTGTCAATCCTGTCAAAACATCCCGCAACCATCAAGATCTTCACAGGGAACTTCTTATGAATCAGAAAAGGTAAGATAGTTTCTTGAGCAGTTTCAGGGGACTTGTAAGTTACTAGATTTAATTTTAATTATGTTTACAAAGGCTTCAAAGGCTTTTTTGTTTGTTTGTTTGTTTCTTTAACTGTATTTGAGGCTTCCTTACTCCTTCTAGCATCCTTGAGCTAGAATGTCCCTCCAAAAAGTGAAGCCAGTAGCAGGCACAGCTGCCACTACCAGTGTTTTTCAGAAGTCTGCAGTCCTGCCTCCCCGATACGGATTTTAAAATTTGGATGGAAGGGTCTAGACTAAAGATAAAAGGGAGTGCCCTAAGTCAAAGAGAAATATTTTAAAGTCTATTTCTTAGATTTCTAAAAACTTTGTATTTCCCCCTTTTATGTGTGAATGTGTGGGAGGCAGATCTAAATATTGTCTGCTTCAGCATTTTTGAATAGCAGCTTAAAGTCTCTAGAGCAGGTATGGGGAACCTTTTTACTGCCATGGGCCATTTGGATATTTATAATATCATTCGTGGGCCATACAAAATTATCAACTTAAAAATTAGCCTGCTGTATATGACCAAACATTTAATTAACTCACCCCTAATGCCTTGGCAGGGCCAGACCAAATGATTTCGAGGGCCTTATGTGGCCTGTGGGCCAGATGTTCCCCAAGCCCTGCTCTAGAGACATGTCAGTATTAACTGCAGATAAGAACACTCTTTCTTGCCCTGGCCAGGATGGCTGAGTTGATCGGAACATCGTCCTCCCACACACCAATATGTGATGGGTTCAATTCCTGGTCAGGGCATCAACCCAGGTGGCAGATGTTCTCTCCCTCTGTCTATCCCCCTCTCCCTGCCTCTCTCTCTAAAACCAATTTTTTTGTTTAGAAAAACAAACCCAAACCACTCTTTTTTGTTTATTCTTTATTTGTTTTTAAGTACATTTTAATTATCACTATCGTCATTTGTATTACTATTAATTGTTGTGGAGAGGAGCAAAACATTTATATTCTATTTTATTTATAAACCATTTGTTAGTTCTTCCTGTGTCATAAGTAATTTTGGATGTTTGGTCGGAGAACTCTGCTTTTAAAGTGATTTTAGTCAGGATTAGGAGAGTGGAGAGTACAAAGGTATTTTATCTACTAGGACAAAAGGTTGATCTCTTTATTTAAGATCTGTTAAACTTCAATTAGAAGTATTTTAACATCTTCAGAATGAAACGGTTGATCTGAATTGCAGGACTATATAAATCATACATCTACAAATCAAACTGAAGAATACACAGACCAAGTTAAGCATTGGCCATGTTTTAGAGGGAAGGTCTAATTTAAAACTTTAAAAAATTATTTTAAAGGAAATGAGGCATCGTTTTTATATCATTTTTTCCTACTGTGCCTTGGGCAGACTCTTGTCCTAGGAACTCTATAAGCATATCCTCCCCTTGGGTTGTGGGAATGTGGCTTACTCCTTTCCAGCCCCAGGCCCACCAGCGTGGTGCTGCCGGGTTCATGCTTAGAAATAGAATGCAAGTTTAATCCTTTCAGGATAGTGCTTAGCTTCTACTGGTGTTTGTCACATAAAAGAAAAAAAAATGGATTCATTATCATCATGCACAAAGTAAAATAGGACTGTAATTTCCGAAACAGGCCACAGGATTTAGAGACAATCCTTCCTGGGAAAGTCTGTGTTTTGAGAAAAAGAAAGTTCAATATACTCCAAAAGAGAGAAACTAAATGCTTTTCTGAATTAAATGGTTTTCTGTTGTCTTTACCTTCCCTTATCTTTAAATGGAGTAGGCAAAGGTTAAAACCAAAATTGGCAACATAATTGTTTCCTGAATTATAGGCTACAACTTATTTTGCAAAAATTTAATAGTCTAGGTCTTATCTTTGTGAAACATACAGTTTTGTGCAATTGAATCTGTTATGCCATTTTTTTTTTTTTTTTTTTAGAACAGGTACTTTCTGTGAAAATGGAATACCCTTCTGACTTTCTCTGGGTTATGCTTTCTCTTCTTTGTTTGCACAGGTGACTCTTTAGCCAGGCCCAGCTCTACTAATTTAGGAGAATGCTGGTGTTCCCTCAAGCACCATGGGGTAGAGAGGATGTGGGCTTTGAAGTCAGAGGGAAATGACTTTACGATCTTGGACAAGGTTCCCCTTCTTGAGGTCTGTTTCTTCATATAATAAAATAGGAGATAAAAATATATTTCTTTTAAAAATGGAAATAAATAATAGCATGCATAAATACATATTAAAATGCATGGCATATAGTAAGTGCTCGATTAATCCCAACCATCTTTCACTTTCTCTGTAGTGCCATCTGGAAATTCCTATTACTTTTCCCCCTTTTTTGAAAAGTCCTGGTGTGGCTATTGAAGTACATTTAAGCAAAAGAAAGAAAAAGGCGGGTTTTAAAATTAAATGAATGTTTCCTATTCTATGTCTTCAGGTTTCTTAAGGGACAATCTTAGTTTGGTAGAGTCCTCTTATTAGAAACACAACTGGATTTTAGAGGGAAAACTCCTCAAGCAGTTTCTTCTTTTGATCTTCTATCACATATACACTTTGGAGTCTGAGTTTTTTATTTCTAAATTTTATGTGGAGAAAATAGGAAGTATCACTTCAGTAATATATATGTTTGGGTAAAGGGTAATCATACTTTATTACTAGCTTGTACCATAAAGAAAGTCTATTAATTTTCTACAACTTGTAGAGGGCTTTTCCCATATTTTATCTTGTCAAATCCAGTGATCTTTTGGGGATCCTGTGTGTGTTATCTTGGCATTATCCTAATGTGACAAGTTAGTAAGAAAAAACTCAGAGTAACAGGCTAAGGAATCTTCTCAACATTTCACTGAAGTTTTTGAAATAAAAAGGGTAGAAAGAAATATATAATTAAAGGCAGTTTAAATTAAAAGCAGAGCTTTTAATTAAATATAGTAATGATAAAAATTAGAAAAGGAGTAGAGAAGTGAGAGGGAGACCATTGAGATCAACACAAACCAAGCTGTCCATGAAGCCTTGGACTTTGCCTTCCATAGCCAAAAATTTGGCTCAAAGCCCTGTAGCAGTTAGTTCAAAGAGGTTGTTTTTTTTTGTTGTTGTTGTTGTTTTTTTTTTTGTTTTGTTTTGTTTTTTTTTTAGCTACTTTTTAAGGATCATAAGATAAAAGCAAAGTTACTACTTAGGAGAACAAATACTCTATTCATCAGTATTCTAACTCTGAACTCTATGCCCTTGTAAGTATGTAATTCTGCTCCTCTGTTTGCTATCTTTTGGACCAACTAAGTTTCAGATTGGGGATAAAAGGAGAGATCAACCAAAGGACTTATGTGCACACATATGAGCCTAACCAGTAGTCAAGGACTATAGGGGGGCGGGGGTATGAGAATAGGGTGGGGGGGAGGATTGGAATGAGGGGGGTGAGGACAAATATATGATGCCTTAATCAATAAAGAAATTAAGTTTTTAAAAAAGTCTTTACATTTCCATCTGCTCACAGTTTGCCACAATGTCTAAGACCATTTTCAGATTCTCAGGGTCTATAGATAGTCCCAATAACATAAGAAGGGCAGATTTCAAGAGACAATGTTGTTTTTAAGCTGTAAGATTAGTGTTTAAGATGTCTTAAAATATTTCTAATATAAATTAGGTTCCTTCTTCTCTACAAGAGTACTTTAGGGGGCAAAATAGATATCGAACTATTGAAACACATCCCTAAAATTGGTTTCTTGACTTGTACATTTCGGTCAGTGGCTTTTATTCCTCTGTTTTTAGTTGATCTACATATCTGCATTTGGCATGCTTTTCTAGACAAATATTTCCCCTATAAATACTCATTGGTGTACAACATGAAAATTGAGGTAGAAATATTTGCATTTGAATCCACACAGGTAGAAATGGTTCAGCCACAAATGTAGGCAAGGCAGGCCAGACCAGAAAACTCCAAGATTAAAGATCAAGGTCTTGCAATCCAAATGCACCCTCCCCTCCATCCCAAGAAAAAAAAAAAAATGGCTGGGTGTCAGAGCTGTTCTGTTGTGTCTGTGCCAGCCCTCAGGCCTTCTGGCTGAGGAGGCAGTTTCACTTGTATGGGTTCAGTGCATCTGGGGTGGAGATGAAACTTTCAGTCAGCCCCTGGGCATATTCAGTGGTTTATGTGAAATGTAAAATGTACCATTCAAAGTTGTCACTGGTGGTGGAAAAATAAAGTATTGCAGCCTTACTGGCAGGCAGTTTGGCAATATACACCAAATTGTAAAGTGTACAGATGCTTAGCCAGCACTTCTACTTCTATAAATGTAGCCAGTGGAAATACTAGTATATAAAGGAGTGCAAATATGAATGTACAAGGAAGATCATTGCCTCATTACTTTCTTTTTAAAATATATATATATATTATTGATTTTTTACAGAGAAGAAGAGAGAGGGAGAGGGAGAGAGAGTTAGAAACATTGATGAGAGAGAAACATCAATCAGCTGCCTCCTGCACACTCCCTACTGGAGATGTGTCCACGACCAAGGTACATGCCTTTGATCGGAATCCAATCTGGGACCCTTGAGTCCGCAGGCCGATGCTCTATCCACTGAGCCAAACCACTTAGGGCTGCCTCATTATTTTCAATAGGGAACAATTGGAAACAATCTAAATGCATGTCAGTATGGGAGTGGCAAACTTCCGTTCTATGAGGAACAGATGTTAAGATGATGAAGAACAGCTTTGTAAAGGTGTAGAAATGAGGGAGGAGCCTAGACTAAACTGTTACCTCTGGGTCCATGTTCAATTTTGGGGGCCACTATTCACACAGAATACAATGTAGGTAGTGCTCAATAATCTGTTTAACAGAGTTGAGGTGTGCTTTCACTTTCTATTTTATGTATATGTCACCTAACCTATTTTATTCAAGGAGCACTTACTAAATTTAAAAATTGGCTTGGCCGACTGTAATAGTTACAGCAAGCAGGCTCAGAATTAACTGTTGGTCTTGAGTGGTACAGACACCAGGACTTTAAGGGATTACAGGATTAAAATGGTTTGTTAATTGTATATGTCACAATTGATTAAAGAGATTCAACTTTTGTCATGTGCAGAATGATATTTAGTTTTTAAGAAATTTGCAGAAGCTCATTTCTATCTTAAGTCTGACCCAGTTTTAGACTCAGGGAAACATATAGGCAGTGCTTGCTTGAGTTTTTCTATTCAGCACAGATTAAGTGATTGGCTATGATAAAATATTAACTAAATTTATATGACTTCTCGATTGTTCCAAGAACATTTATCACATGAGCCACCATTTTCTGAGCTTTCTGTTGCTAAATATTTTATCTTACTGCTCCCATTGTATAAAATCTTACAATAGAAAATGAATACTGTATATTAATTAAACCCATTCATATGTTGCGGTGGAATGTCATATTGGTGTGTCATACATCAAAGTTTGTGCAATAGGTTTTGCATAATTCAGAAACATTTAATAACATTTGAGGTTAGTTTTGCCTGTGAAGTAAAAAAAAAAATGTTTGAAATTTAAATTATGCAGATAACTAAATCCTTAATCCTAAAATTTAAATCCCTTAAGTCTGTCTGTAGTGTTATAGAGGCTTTTTAATAGTCATGAAATAGAGTGGGTCTTTACTCAGATTATTTACAAACAAATTTTCCAGTGTGCTCAGTGACACTTAGATTTATTGTGAACAAAATACCATCAGCAACTTCTGTTGTGCTGATTAAAGATTTAATTTCCCGAATACTTACCTATATTCTTGTTCCCTTCATACAATATTAGTAACTGTGAAACCAAAATTAAGTCTCAAAAGTAGCCCATCTCTTTTGTTGTAATGCAAATTTGCTAATGAAAATTGAGAAAGAGGAGATAAGTTATTTTATTTTAAGTATTAATGAAGTGGAGATTACTTAAGAGCTAGTGAAGACTGGCTGAAAAGTTGGGAATGGTCTTCCCTTGACTTGCCACAGAATTCTTAGATGGAGGGTTGGTAGGCCTAAGTTTTGGTTTTGTTTCTCCCTATTTGATGAGATGGTAGCCTGGCTTATCCTTCATAAATTTGGGACTTTCCTGGGGCCTGACTTCCATGCATTGTCAATAATCAACCACACATCTGAAAAGGGTTCAACTGGAAGGATCACTGAACTGGGAGTGAGGGGCTCAGAGTTTTATGTGGCCAGTAATGATGAAACCTTGGACATGCCTTTATACATGCAAGAACCTTCCTAAAAATCTGAAACTTTGGCCATTTTGCTGTTTAAATTTCTGGGAAAGCCATCTCATCTCCATGTCCATGTACATGTCCATCTTGGGTGGTCGTCATACTCAGCGAATGAGCATTGTGTTCCCCAGCTTCCCCAGTGAATGGATTTTGCTTACTTTCAGAAGATGCTCTTGCTTTTTCTTTCATGATTGTGAATTTCTGAGATAACCAATGTTGACTATTAACTGGTAGTAGGGGGGTCACAATCATGCTAATTCATTAGACCCCTTCTCTGTGGCTGATGCCTTAAATTTCTATTCAGGAAAGATGTGACCATTAGATTACAACTTTTTATTCTGTTCATGCTTTTTTTTTTTTTTTCTTTAGGGGTCTTGCCCCTCAGAATAAGCCAGAACTGCAGAAGGTGATGGAAAAAAGAAAACGAGATCAAGTAATAAAGCAGAAGGAAGAAGAAGCACAAAAGAAGAAATCTGACTTGGAAATAGAGCTATTAAAACGGCAGCAGAAGTTGGAGCAGGTAAGGGTGACTTTGTGAAAGTGGTCTTTTTTTATTGAGCCATATTTGACATACAGCATTGTGTAAGTTTAAGGTATTTAGCATATTGATTTAGTACCTTTACGTTGCAATGTGATTGCCACTGTACCTTAGCTGACACCTCTGTTGCATCACATAATTATTTCTTCTGCAGTTGGGAACCATTAAGATAATCTCTTAGCAAATGTAAGACACAATTTTGTTGGCTATAATCTCTCTGCTGTGCATTAGGCCTCCGGGACTTACTTATCTACTAGTTGCAAGTTTGTACCTCCCCTCCCCTAATTTCCAGCCCTGGATAACCACCGTTCCACTCTCTGCTTTTATAAGTTGGTTGTTTTTTTTTAAAGATCCCACATATAAAAGATATGATACAATGTTTGTTTTTCTCTGAATTTTCTCACAAGTTGTCTTTTTTGTCCTAAAAACGAAGAATGTTGGAACAAGCAGAATTTATCAGACAAGACAGATGTAAATGTTTATACCATGAAATGAAAATATGAGACAAAATATGAGCAAATGGTTTAAAATACATTGAAAGTAAAGTCCAGAATTCTATTGAGGGCCTAGAAGAGATTCAGGAGGAAACAGTCAAAAGCAGAACTATGACTGAATTCACAGCAGTGTTGGGAGCTCAAGCACTTGAGGGAAATTTTACTTCTGAGAGTATAGGCCAGGGAGTACAGACCAGCTGTGTTATTGCAGGATCTTGTCTTAACCTTGATTTTTAGATTCTTGTGATTTCTCTATATTGCTTTAGTAACAACCTACCTACTGCTGCTCTTGTGAGGAATTACCTGAATCTATGTGTATGCACGTGCTCGCATGCGCAAACACACACACACACACACACACACACACACACACACACACACACACACTTATTTATTTTAACTGGAGACTGGGAGAGAATTTCTTCCATTGGGAAACGAAGTCATTAGGGACTTTGGAAAGAGGAATGTCTTAAAAAACCTCTCAGTTTGTAAATAATTTTTCTGTTTCTGAATTTTATTTAGCTTGAACTTGAGAAGCAGAAACTGCAAGAAGAGCAAGAAAACGCCCCAGAGTTTGTGAAGGTTAAAGGCAATCTTAGGAGAACAGGCCAAGAAGTGGCCCAAGCCCAGGAGTCGTAGGCCCACGCCTCAGAGATCCCACGGAAGCTGTGAGCAGGCACCTCCTCAATTCTTAATCTCAGGGCAAAAGCCCCTGGGAGCATCCCAGCCAGCAGAGAATTGTTGCTTAAAAAAGTATTTGGACTTGGTTCACCTACGGTCTGGGTGGGTAAATTACCTGTGACAGTTGCAATTCCTATTCGCCAAACAAAGGACATTGACCAGCACTTAGGTTGGGATCGGGACCTGTGTTCAAAGACTTTTTTTTTTATTTTAAAAAAAGGAAGAGGACACTGGAGTAAATTCTTGAGAGTTGCACTACTTGGTTTTTCTTCCGATCCAAGTTTAGTGGGGCAAGTTTAGTGGAGCCTTTTTTCTTTTAAAACCTAAAGAAAATGTGTTTCATTCTTCCTTTAGTTATCTATTAGATAATATAGATCACATAGAAATACATTTGATCTGTTACAGTCAATATTCATCAATTCTATTTCGAGAATCCCAATTTTCTTGTTTAATTTATACCTTCATCCATGTTAGGATTCATACCTGAGAATGTTGATGTTAATGTTGAGCACAGCTATCACCTTTATTGACATTAATAGGATGAGAAGTTTAAAAATATGTAAACAGACATACGTAAACAAAAATACCTAAATGGCCATTTTGATCTTGTCTTAACTCCTTTTGGTTATGCTCCATGGTAACATTCCAGTTAAGAGAAGGTACATTCTATAAATCCATTTATTAATTTGTTAACTATTAGGGTTTTTTAAAATATTTCTTGCTGACCTAGCTCCTATTACATATGAAATAATTTCTCCATCTTTTGGAGAGTGAAAGCTAGTCCACATAACTGATCTTCAGTGTCAAAATTAGAGAGTCCAAATCTTTTGATTCCTTCTGAGAGCAGTGTGGGGAGTGCTCCCACTGGGAGCCTGGGAAGGAGAAATGATTTTAGTATCTTAATGTGAAGCAAACATAGATTGGTCTCAAGAGGCCTCGTTGGAAGATTCATAACAACTGTACATGTTGAATGTTACCCATTTCTTTCTTTTTTTTTTTCTTAAGAAGAAAGACTATTTCCCCAGTCTCTTAGTTATAATGATGGTTTTGATAACGATGACGTTTTTGACTACTGTACTGCATCTCAGGAAAAGCCCAGGTAAAGGGAGAAGCTGCTCAGTTTTCCCACCCTAGCAAGCTACTCAAAGTGAAGCCCAGGTTACCAATAACAGCAGAGTACTTAGACATTTTATACTGCTGGTATGATCCTTTCAACTTGGGTGGTCTGGAAGAATTTGTGTGGATTCAGTATGTTCTCCCTAGAGACAATTCAGCCAGTAATTTCTACATTGAAGACTCTTATAATTCCTCTAAAAACTTGTAGAAAGCTGGATTCTGAGCTTCTGCATTCTTAGTAAGCATAGTAGAAATTAGCTTTCTGTGGGAATGCTTTAATGTTTATACTTAACAATTAGGCTCATATTCAGTCCTGATGTGAACAAGATAAAAGAAAATGCAATGATTGTATACTGCTAGTTCGGGAATATGTGAATTATACCTGGAATGAATGATTTCTCTCATCAGCAAGTATTATTTGAATAAAATGGGAAGTGCTTAAGATGAGACACTACTCTATAATAGTTTGCTTTTGAAGCATGGAACAGTAGCTATTTTTCCCATCATTCTTCCTTATGAGAGAAGAAAGTACATTCACTGATCATCTTGAAAGTATATTTCTGATTGCACATTGACTGGAGTTCTTTCTTTGTGCATATGAACTAATGATGTGATTTGTAAAATGAGGATTCAGGATTGGCCTTACATACCCTTTAACTGCATGCAAGGTCTTTAGATCCTGTGTCCTTGAAGCAGTTCAGCCACTTGATAAAATTCTCAGGAGCTCTGACAGGCTCCTTCAGAAGGACCGATTCTGTTCCTAGAACTTACCTAGAATTCATTCTTCCCTAGGAGAAAATAAATTACAAAAGCATTTCCCTCCCAATCTCACTCACAGATCTTCAGAATTATTTGTAGTTATTAGTGTACTAGGTCTGGCCAAAAGAAGACTTGTAAATAGCATACAGTAATGTCTTAAGACTAAACAGTGGAAGGTCTACATAGAGAAGCTCTTTGAAGTCATCAGATCAGCTTAGCTCACAGGCCTGAGTTTAACAAGGCGTCAGTCTCCCCCACTCTTTAATACTGCACAGTCCAACCCCTCGGACTCACGAACATCCCGGCATTTTGTGCTTTGAGCCACTTTTTTACAAAAATGGCTCCATTTTTTCACTCTGTGGTTTTCTTAAACTAGTTCAGTGTTTTATAGTCTCCTAGTAGTAAAGTAGTGTTGCTTTCTAAGCTATAACAGTTGACTTTATTCTTCTACTCTGAAAAATCTTGACTTGTTTGAGTGTATATAATATATATTAAGGGAGCCTTAATGGATTTGTTTTCATAATTTAATATTTTTTGTATTTGCTCTTGTATAATTGTTTTTAATGGAAAGTATTACAGAATTGAGAGTGGAATTCTTAGAGCCAAAGTTATTCTTAATAAAAATCACCACTTGCTTGGACCATTCAGCTGTTTGTCTGTCTGATGTGTTTAAAATGGATGTCTGGGACTGAGGAGACGGCAGGGAGGCTGTGTTCAGTTCAAAGATCAGAAGGCGGTGCTACGGCCTCCCTTGGATGAATATCCTCCTTTACAGACTTGCTCACAAGTCACTTATGTCCTCTTGCCTGTGTCAGTCAAGACTGGCCATATCAAATCACACTGAGGTATTATGCTACACTTGCATAGAAAATGTGGTATTTTAGCAGAAGCTGTCAGTCTGCTGATCAAAGTATTCTGAATTTTAGGTAACTTGGAAGGACAATGGGAGATATATTTTGGGAAGGAGCATTTTTTTAGTACTTGTGAACTAGTATGTCTGGCACGTCTGAAGTGTGACCATAAAATTATTTTGTTTATGCAGCTAAGTTAATGTAATTCTCAGAGAAGTTACTTTGGGAAGCTATACACAGGATTTTATTATACTACTGGTGAAATTAGTTTGCAGGTTTCAATCTCTTTACTTTTTCCAATCCCAAATTATTACTCAGCTTGAGCACCTAATTCATACTATTTTTGGACTTTTTTTGAAAATCAGATCTACTTAGGGCAGTAAGATTTGTTTCCTCTAAGGTTATACCATGAGTTTTAAAGGACAGCATAGAAGATGGTCCCAAAAATTATTTGAAGAGTAGCTGATCCTTGAACTAACTAGACATTTTCACAAGGTGACAGTTTTGAAGCAGTCAGTCCATTTCATTGGAGCACTATATGTTTGTTTCTAATAGATTTGAAAGAAGACAGAGGGCAATCAATGTGTTTCATAAGACTTGAAATGCTATAGTACATTTAAAATAATTATTAGAATATTACCACCAGGCTTACATTTACTAGTATAATGAGAAACAAAATGTTTTCTTTCTAAGGTCTTAAGTAAAATAAAATCTTTGTGAGCTAACCTAATAATTACAGTTCCTACTTTTTTTTTTCCTCATGAGAAAATGCATTCTGATTATCAGTTGGAGTTGTTTTGAATGCCTTCTCAGTTGCTCCTAGATTTTCTAGTAAGATCGTAGTTGCCAACCACCTTGCCAGTAAAAAGGGCACTTGGTTATTTACGGAAAGTATGCTAATTGCTACTGGGATGTTATTGCTCCAGGCCCCTCAAGGTCAGGAAATATATTTGTGTGTGTGAGTGTAAATATGTAATATTCATACACTTGCACTGATATTTATTTTTATATCTCTAGTTACTAAAAGTCATTAGTTAACAGCAATGTCTCCAATTCTTACCCAATAGCACATTCTAGCTTTCTTCCTTCCCATGTTTGTTGCTCCCTTTTTTAGCCTGGCTTCCCAATCCTCCATGTCCTTATTTACCTTAGTTGTCATATATAATCCACCTGACTGCTCAGCCACCATGTTCGCTCTTCCTGACCAATTACTCAGGAAGGAAAGAAGGAAACAACCATTTATTTTTCTTGAGCATTTAAACATTTTTTTGTGAATGTAATTAAACTGCCTCAAACAACTTAAACTGCAATTACAGATTTAATGTGCCTGATTGTGTAGAACCTTTCAAATTCCTTAAATAACACAGGAACCATGCTTTAAGTATGAGTAACATTCTCAACAATAAAGTTAAAAAGTACTTCTCTACAATTATGGCCATATATGTTACCATAATATAACTAAGATTCAGTTATACTTTATGACTCCTGGGCTTGTAATAATCTGAGCAAAGAGGAGCTGATAACCAAGCTGCAGGACTGCGAAGGCCTTATCATCTGCTTGGCCACCAAGGTGACCACAGATATCATCAATGCAGCAGAGAAACTCCAGGTGGTGGGCAGGGCTGACACCAGCATGGACAATGTGGGTCTGGAGGCCCCACGAAGAAGAGCATCCTGGTCATGAACACTCCCAATGGGAACAGTCTTATTGCTGTGGAGCTCACCTGTGGGATGATCATATGTCTGGCCAGGCAGATTCCCCAGGCAACAGCTTTGATAAAGGATGGCAAATGGGATTGAAAGAAGTTCATGGGAACCAAGTTCAGTGGAAAGACTCTGGAGATTATTGGCCTGAGGAGGATCTGGAGAGAGGTAGCCGTCCGAATGCCATCCTTGGGGATGAAGACTGTAGGGTATGACACCATCATCTCACTAGAGGTCTTGGCTCCTCACACTTCACCCAGATTTGGTTCTGATTGGTCTGAACCAGTAGGGGATGTGCAGGAGGCAGCTGATCGATGCTTCTTCTAATCAATGTTTCTAACTATCTCCCTCCCTTCCTCTCTGTAAAAAAAATCAATAAAATATATACTTTTTTAATTAAAAAAAAAAAAAGATCTGGTGTGAGGTGTGCTAAAGAGGTGCTGGTGGACAAAAGGGCTCCTGCACTTAGAGTAATGTTAGAGCTAAAGGACATGAAGTTATCCTGGATTTTCTGTTTAAACCCCTGAT